TTATTCAGTCAGTTAGTGATACGAATTGCTAATCACTCATTAAGGAGCCAGTCAGTAAGCCAGTCAGCGAGTGAGTTATGTTATTCAATCACTCAATTCAATTGGTCAGCCAGTCAGTAGGTCAGTCAATCCTTCTGTCAGTCAATAAGTCAGTGAGTTGAACAAACAGTCAGCCAGTCACTCAGTCGGCCTATCTGTCAATCAAAAGTTTTTCAGTCACCTAATTAATCAGTTGATCAGTCATTCAATAAGTCAATCAGACTGTCGGTCCGTTAATTAGACGGCTAGAAGGTTATCTCGATTAGTCATGAGTGTTACAGCCAATCATTCTTTCAGAGAATAAACTGATATGATGACTGGATAATGACAAAAGGTAGCTTATTAGAATGGTAAGAGCACATTAATAAATTATCGAATACTGAGGTTGAAATAATTCCCTTACCATTCGGATATCTTTGTGTAATCCATCAAGAATCTTTGTCTCCCTGAAACAAACTTTAAAATTGTCCTTATTCAAGTCTTTTACCCAAATAGCCATAGCATCTTGTGGTCTCTTCAGAATCTCATGGCAGGCAGATACTAAAACAGTCGGTGAAGTCTTAAAGCGCTAAAAGAAACACAAACAAAAAAAGAGGAAAGAAATTGAATAGTTTACGAAGTAAGTTTGAAGCAAAATTGACAGATAAAAACTCTCTCGAGGACAGTTAAATGGTCTACTGATAATGCCATGTCAGTGTTAGCATCGGAACTACAAGCAATAATTCTACACGCTTTTTGGCTTTACTTCAGTCGGAAATTATGTTTTTCCCTTTGTCAGACGCTTGTAACAAAAGGAAATAAAAGCTCTCTTGAATCGAACCTTTTCAAAGTTGATAGTAATACACTCGGTTCCGGTAGTCCATGGATCCAACGCTACAGTTCCTAGCTGAAATCCAAGAGGTGTAGATTGCAAAGCAATCCAGTTCACTTCAGCAGAACCTTTTGAACCTTCCCCATACTCCAACACACAGACTGTGAACCCACCAGTAGAAACAGACTCCACCCAGACTGCTGCACCAAACCGATATGTTGGACTTTTTACAGTATGTCCAAATGAAGCGAATACCTTGACTTGCTGCCCATCAGAGAAAGGACGTTGGAAGGAAATTTTCTTACAGCCAAACAGGCCCGGTGTCAAAATCGTTACATTGTCTTTCCCTGCCTTTATGATCGGTGCTGTCAAAAGAAAGATGGCATGATATTTTTTTGCTATTTGCTTCATCCAAATTTCGTAACGGCTGTAAGATGCATAAATTGTTGATGCAACATCCCTATCATAATTTTCGAAAAGTGAATATTCAAGCGTCACCTCAAGAGGAAAAAGTCAAGCCAGCTTGTGATTAGCCAGCTTTCACCAGCTGTGATTAGCGCTTTTCTATAAAGTGTTTATCCAACAGCCTGCTATGGTAAGGTCTGGAATTTCCCTATATCTTCCCTTGCTGATGTCTTTCAAAAATGGAGTCTTCTAACCTACGTTTATAACAAAAAAAGGTCACAGGTTCTGACACTTCGCTTCCTTTCAGAGTGGGATTTGTCTAGTGTTCTGGACATGCTTAGGGGTGATGTTAGTCTGAATTTGCTAATGAAAACCCGCCAGTCACAGCCGAGGATAACGCTTTATGAGGTAACGCACAACATTACCTGTGTAGCGATAGCAGTATGAATGATTAAGATCCCTATCGCAAGACGTTCTCAAATGTGCATCAATGCATTAGCGCGTTGAACCTGAAAAATTGCTGTAAGATTAACCATAATTTCGGCTTATGAATAATTGATTTAAAAACATTGTTGAAGACAGCGGGAAATCGAGGTGGACACATGCAGTTCAGTCTCGGAGAAGGTTTTCCGAAGTTCTATACTCGAAAGTCCTTTAGTAAACAATAAAGATAACATCTTCAATTTCTGTCCACGTTGGATTTTATCCAGTAACTCCTCTCCTCGTTAAAGGAGTGAAGTGGTAAATTTTAAGACTAAAAGGACCGCACTCCTATTCATGTGAACTTAGTCCTTGCATATTTCATGTTTTTTTTTTCCTTGAAATCTTCCTTGAAAATTCTGATTTAAGGAAATAACGTGTTTTGAAAGAATCATCCGCTGATGGCAAAGATAGAGAACAATAGATATTCACAACCAGTTCCGGTGACGCAAAGGGGAAACAGTTACCCAACTTTTTTAAACTTTTCGATGTATCGCAGCACACAGTGACGCTGTTCCTTAAAAACCACTTTTTTACTTCGGTTGATTAAAATGGAACTCTTAAAAATTATATCTGTTGTTAACACCAACTATGAAAGCTTTCTGTATGTAACCAAAAAGCGGGGTTAACTTAATTGCCTTAGCAAGAATTGTGGTATCATTCTCGAAAAGTATTCAAGAAAGTTGTACACGACCTATGATTTATCTTTCCATGTGCATGTAAAAAGAAAATATTATCGTTACTCTAAAAGAATTGGATTTCTGATCCAAAAGTTTTTTCCTAGATTAAATGTGCGGTTCAATCAGCAATTGACAGAGTCCAAGAGTTTTCTTGAAGAACACAAAAAATGAACTGTCGAGAAAAGCAACAAATGAATCCAGTTGAAGCTTACAGCTTTAACAACTATCATTTCAAATAAAGGATTTATTTGATTGATTGATTGAGTTGAAAAACTAAACTCCAATGGTTTGATCGACGGACTTGTGGTCGAAGGTCCGTCTTCCCGATAGGAGTTATAATGAGCACGTGCTCTGCCAATACTGAAACAATTTTTCGTTTTCAAAGTTTCAATCCAGACTATTTTGGAGCAGATGTAATTTTCCATACATGTAAGCTAACAGAAGGTTAAAGGTAAAAGCGAAATTAAAATCCTACGCACGCAAATCTAAATGAAGGGGTTTCTTGACACGGAATAAGATATAGCCTATGATATTATATCTTATTTTAAAAACCAGTGATTCTTGCGAAAACTGCCGTTAGACGAGAATCTACATCAGAAACGCCGACAAGGTTTACCGGAATTTGTTGCCTGATTAAAATTGGCGAAAGTTAACAGAACAGTATTGGAAACGGCTGAAAATCAAGTTGAATATAATTATCTTTGCGATAGTTTTCCGGTTTTTCTGTCGAATAATTTTTTTTTTCCGGTTCACAATACGCCAGATCACGTTTATTATTAATTTTCCTCTTGGATTTTTCCATAGAATCTGCTCCTTGAAAAAGGATCAGACACATTCTATAACAAAAAAATGAACTAAATTAATTTGAAAATCCTAAAGGGAAGCGAGAGGATTGCCTGAAATTCTAATGGTACATGCCATACGAAAGGAAGTTCTTGGATTAACAGGTAAACAAAAATCAGGGTTAACATTATGATCACAGCGAGAGTTTTCGGCATCCTTTTTGATTAATATTCTAAGCTTCACAACTGAATATTCAAGACCGAAAAATTTTGTCTATTAAAAATTTTACCGATAATAAAACTTAAATATATAAAAGTACTAATTAAAAATTCGTACTTAAAAATTAAGATTAAAACTAAAAGTAAAAGTAAAAAATTAAAATTCTTATCGCAATATTTCTAACAGAACTTTAATAAAAGTGTTCTTTGAATAAGCAAGTCTTTATAGAAATTTTAAATTTTGAAATATCATCATGCATGGGCTCTGGCAAGGAGTTCCAAATTGTAGGTGCTGCAAACGAGAATGATCTTCAGCCATATTTCTTCAGTTTTGCTGATGGTATTGTGAGAAGCCTCTTAGAAGAAGATCTTAAGCTTCTTGATGGTTTGTAGGGTTGCAATATTTCTGTGATATAGTAAGCTGGGCTCGACGGCTAGTAAAGACGCAATGAACAGTCGATCTAATCGAGATGCGAATCAATTAACAATTACTGCTTTCACACTTACTACAAAGTATCACCGTGCTCCTCAAGCAAAACAGTGCGACTGCAAGGCGTTGAACCAACTCAGTTGTTATCATATCTTCTTGAATAAAGAATAAGCGAATGGCCCAGATGTTTGGTTTGTAATATCTTCAGACCCTATAGTTCCAGCTAATCGGCTGAAGGTGTAAACCGTATTGCGTGTAGATATTTCTCTTAATGTGGGAGAAATAGACGTCATTGCTCATCCAAACTGCTAAAACGTGTCTGCTTGAGCAAAATGTCCGTATATGGCTGCGTTAAAGCTCAAAATGGAAAGTGGCTGAATGAACATAATATCACATATTTTTGGTAAAGTTGATCCGTTTGATTCTTTATTGACTCTCTTTTTTAATGACACTGTTACCAAATTTTTCTCTGAGCTACATAGGGCTTGCATGCACTATGTTATTTTTCCAGTTTGTTCTTATGCATTAGCTTCCCGTTGCAATATAAGACCATATAGGACACAGGGAGCCCACAGAAACGAAAAGTAGGCTTGAAAATCTCCGAATTGAAGCGTCCAGAAGAGGGGAATGCACTATTACATACACAACTTTTTGGGTTATCCAGTGTGGAATCAATGATAATTTGACAATTTTCGATCTTTTATTTTCAATTTTTCGTTCAATTTTCTCTATCAGGCCCTTGCAAAAAGATTTGGAGGTTTGTTATGATATGAAGTGGCATTGCGAAATTTGCTTTTCCTTCGTTAGATCAGTGTATGTTCTCCAAACCAAACTATTTCTTTTTTAATAATATTTTGTATGATAGAGTAATATTTGGAAATTAGGGCATTTTAGATGAGACTCAGGCATGCAGTGTACGTGTAACGAGCTTCAGCAATATGTAATTATGTGAACGGCAATAAAAGCAATTTCAAGGCTATTTGTGATCAAATTAGGATGCCCTGTGATCGGAATCTGTTACAGGGGACAAACTTCATGCATGGCCACTGGAAATATGCCCAACCCGCTACATCTACACGGAATTTCTCCATGTGCCAGGCAAACCTGTAGATCATACACAAATACTTAAAAAAAATTCTTTAATCGTAGCTTTATTGAAAATCAGAATGATCTAAATTAATTACAAAATAGCTTGCGACTACTTTCATTGATAACAACGGTACTAGACTATTAGGAAAGTGATGAAAAAACAACTAAACTTTGCAAAAACTTTTGATGATTAATGATAACGCATATGCCCTCATGAAAGAAGTCTTGTTTTGATACGTCAAAAAAGAATAACTGCTTCCCGCGGAATCCACACTCCTGGGATGCAATGCCAGCCACCTACGAGAACAAACGAAAATTAACCGTTTAGGAGAAATTAGGTGCTAGTCACTCTTAGGGGTTCAACGGTTTAAAGTTTTTTTTTCCTTTACAATATGCTACTCAGATACATTCCAAATCAACCGGTAAATGTGGGGAAATAATTGACATTTTTACTGTGTTAAGATTGTACATGTATAAGAGCTTGAGAGGTAAGACCTCTTCAGATTTCCTCAAACGGTAGGGAACGTCATTTTTCATAATTCTAATGGGTTTGCCTTCCAAACTGATCACTAAATTGTATAAAGTGCCCAAATTTGAAATGGCAGGTTGTTATTTGGAGGCTGTTGTTTTGATCGAACACCAAATTTTACAAAAAAATTTACATGGACATGCAAGCGACTAAAAGTGAATTAGTTCAAACAAATCTTGAGTTTGAATGGTTTAACTTGGTAGTTCGCAAAATTAATTATATTAACGTAAGGTATGCGATGGTCACAGATAATGTCTTTATGGAAAGGAAAAGAAAATATGTAACCACTATCTTACTTCTTGACTATCAGTTGCTTTGAAAAACGTTTCAATAAAATCACAACAAAGAAAGCGATCCGAAGTGTCGATGTAGTACCAAACTTTGTTATCAAGATAAGCCAGGTGGAGTCGTAAAAATCACAAAAGATATGTAGATAGAACAAGCCGACAAGAGAGAGAATTGAAATTATGCGCAGAGTGGTGAAATTATAAACGTTTTCAAAATGACTTCTCTTAGAACCCAGAGTGAAAATAGAAAAAGCAGTCTAGAATTTTCAAGGACTTTAGGTTGATTATTAGCAATAAAGTTATGCTTACTTTTTCTAAGTTAGAATCAAAATTATATGATGACTTGAACAAACAACTTCTCGTATATAAAACAGTCAAAGTTACTTTCATGTCAGAGTTTAATGTCCAGTTTTACTCACTGATTTTGAAAAGGCTTATTGGTCTCCGCAACCGCAGATGGCACAGTTGCCAGGGTCAAACCTATTGCACAATTTTTGGCAGAATCGGTTGCACTTTGAATCTTCATCCCTTTGGATCTTATCCCAGAATGCTTTAAGTGGGCTATATTTTGCTAAAAGTGAACGAACTTTATGTCAGGATAGAATACAATCTTATTAACAATACATTTTAGTATCATAGCTAAGGTCTGGAATAGCTTGGGGTTGTAGTTTTTTTTCCTAAATTGACAGATACTATGGTTTGTTATGGGAAAATTCTCTATTGATGGATTGATTTAAAATCGATCATATATTTCAGCATCTTTCTTTCCAGATGCCTGTTAGCTACAGGGTTTCAAGGGTGTTCCATTTTGGACTTCCAGATCGTGATATAGCATTCTGTTTATCACAAAATAAAAGTAGTGTGTTTGGAATTGCAAAAAAACCAACAAAATAAACTTACAGATGAGTCCACCATCAGGTGTGTCTCTATAACTAAAGGTTTCTTAAAGATATGCGCAGATTTGGCAAAAGAGCTTTTGGCAGTGTGGGGTTGGGCACCAGTTTCGAAACACGTTTTTAAAGTAATAATTTTAGATATATAAGATTCATATATTTGCACTGCGGTGAAGAAACGAATATAAGAGATCCTCGCAGCTAAAAACACTACTGAACTACTGGTTGAAATAAGAGCTGAAAACATTTTTTCAGGTCCGTACGGGATTTGAATCCATGGCCTTTGCGATACTGGTGCAGCTTTCTACCAACTGAGCTAACAAGCCAACTGGGAGCTGGTCAATATGTTAGGTCCAAATAAACCATCTAAGTGATGAATAATGATTTTAGATATATGAAATTCATATATTTGCACTGCGCTGAAGAAATGAATAGAAGAGATCCTCGCAGCTAAGAACACTACTGAACTAGTAGTTGAAATAAGACCTGAAAAAAAAATTTTTATTTATCAACTACTAGTTCAGTAGTATTCTTAGCTGCGAGGATCTCTTATAAACGTTTTTAAAGTTTTGCAATCTCTTGCACATTTCCTCAGACAGTGGCAATTGAACAGTCATTCATCATTAGAACAACAAAGAAAAAGGCATCTGTCACAGCAATATGCAATTGAATTTGTTGACAACATAACATTTTGCGACTACTCTGTTGGAAGTTGTTAACGATGGCAGAGTCATGAATGAAATCGTAGGCAACTTTAGGCTTTCGAAAGAAATAAAGCTCTAAATTGAACTGATCTGGGCAAGTGATCGCAAAACATGATTTACAGACAAAGAACGCAAACTTTCGCAAGACTAGGAAAGTGTCCACTCCCGAAGAAATTTGTAATATATATTTTTTTTCTTCAAGTCTGCTAGTGGGATATGTTAGTTGTAAGACGGTTATTTACCTTCTCGCGGTGATTCCGGTTTGTCCGAATAACGAACACGTGACGTCACCAAGACGATCATGGCTGCCAGTATGATAACACCAAGGGTCCTCATGATCACAAATGTGCTCGACGTGGAATCCTGTTTCGCAGAGGAAACTAAAAGGATAAAAAAAAGGAAAAAAAATTCCTTGGATCAGTACTTAAAATTTGAACTAAAGTGACACTGCCTTCGCTTTTGATCCTGTCTATTTCTCTCAGCTGGTAACAATACAGTTCTTTGTGGTCGAGCTTTGAAAATTCCGAGTTAAACTCCTTTTTTTCATATTCTCTCAGTTTCTCAGGCAAAGTGATGAAAAAATGGGGGGGGAGGGGACTTGTCTCTTTAGACTTCCTTGTGGTCATTATGAATTTACAGCAGTTGGTTAGCAATTGGTTCGTACGTCAGCGTGCGTTCATCGAGATGTGAAGCACGTGAAAAGTTTGGAAAGCACGAAAGATGCTCTAGCTTCTTGAGTGCTCTCCAAACTTCCCAAGTGTTCCATATCTCGATGAACGCACAGCTGACGTATGAACCAATTGTTTTATAACATTTTCAAATTTTTTCTCTCGAGGGATTTGTTTGCTGACTTCATGAGCGTGCACAGTAGGAATATAAAGCACGCTCACGCGATTGAATTTGACTAGACAAATTTACACACTATGTTATAATAAATTATGTCTTAAAGTTGAATGCTCAACAGAGAGCTAAATCATTAGTATGTGCTATCAAATGGTAACGTGTGAACTAAGGTAATAATTTCGCGCGCATTTTGGAAAAGGTCCAACAACTTCACAAGCCTTTAGGCGAGGGAAATAAATCGAATTTTTACAAATTTCTCCTTGCTGTTTAAAAAATATTGCCTATAATTTTTCGTGAATAAAATGATACGAGCACCAGTTTAGGATGCACTCAAAATTTCGCTCGACGCCTTTCATATGTCAGACTTTGCTTTAAAGTATAAATTATTCATTATAAATTATAAGTTTTGAATTAACGCTGAGATTTCGCGCCAAAATGAAGGAGTAATTTCTCATCCATGACATGATCAAAGAGTACTCAAGAAGAGGTTAAGTTGTGCGATCTGTCATAATTCAGTGTACTTCGGTTTCAATGTATATTGAAAAGATTCCGACTCCTGGTTCAGAGTTCCCCTAAAATTCATAACTTCTCGCACTTCACGTTATAGCTTGCCAAGACAGACGAGACCATAAAAGCCTATTGCACAACGCATATAAAAAATGTCTAAGATATTCAAACGCCCTTAAATACTACATAATCATTATTTGGGTTCATTTTGCTATCAAACGTTTTTTGAAGACCTATATCAGTTCACCACACAGATTGTTTCCAACCGAGTTGTTTGAAACTCGAGGAATTATTGATAGAAGCCATTACTACTGTTAAGTGTCCCGGTAATTCATCACTGGAAGTTCAATTGATGTAACAGTGCAGCAGGAGATGCCTTCCCCAAACAAAAAATAAACAGAACCAGTTTGATAGGTATATTGCAATAGAAGAGACAAACTCACCTCTTCTTGTCAAGTTACTGGCTGAACTGTATAAAGATGTTCTACCAACTGGCGAGGGGTTAATATACTAAATTCAAATATGCCTCAAGACAAAATGATGACGTTACTTTCTTTTATTGGCCTACCATTTTGATGAAAAGATAATACCTACTGCGAGGAACAATGATTCCAATTTGAGAAGTGGGTTGGGCGTGTTTTGAGCAAACTTTTTGTCTGACTGACATTTTTTACACGGCCCCATTAGCTATATTGGCTTTAAAACCCACCTATTTAAAAAAAAGACGTTGTTGTTATTGTTGTTATCAATTATGGTTTGTCCACGATTTCTTTTTTCGAAGGATTGACTCGGCATATAAGTAACGTGATTGCTTTTTTACTTAACACAACATAGATGATCGAGAAGAAAAGCTTGTCGAGGTTTTCTTTCGTATTGCCCCTTCCGCCTGATCCTGTTTTGCATTCATACGCCATGCATATTTTTTTTGAGGGGTGGGGTGCGGGAGATGGGGGAAGGGAAGGCGAAAAGTGGAAGGAATTGTCCAATTTCTATTAAAGCTGTATATTCGTTACGACTACATTTAGCATCTTGATAAATTCGTACACTTTCTATCTTCACTGCAAGTTATCGTGTGGCTGCCTAAAATAACCTGTTGGTTAGCGAAGTAAGACAGCCAATTGATGTAATAAGTAATTAAACAGCAAATTGCAAGTCGGCAAGACGGAACCAGTTCATACATCTATATAATGGAGCTAATGACTGGTATAAAGTCTAGAGCCTCTTAGCCACACCTCGACAAACTCTTACACCGTTTCGTGCTCTAAAAATTTCCCGCGCACTTCATACCTCGATGAACAAGCACTGAAGCGTATACAAAGTGTGAAATAGTCTTTCAAAAGAACCTTATTAATGCAAAAATTATCATGCTGTGCACGTGTAACACTGAATCTATTTTAGATTGAACACCCTTGAATTGAAATATTTTCGCTTCAAGGCATCTTTAGTTCAAAATGTGCTTGGACAATTCGTGCAGAACTATGGATAAAGGCATTAACAAAGTAGGGATAGAAAATCCTAGAGGCAAATAGGCTATTTTACAGTTGTGTATTGAGTTTCGAAGCCTTTGATTTGGAGTGAGGCTGAAGGTGACCTTGTTGTGATAGAGACCAGTATCTAGTTAGCAAGACAACAAAGTAATTTGCATTAGAAAAGCAGCAAGGTTTGTATCATAACAGGGTCAACCATAGCCTCACTCCTGTTCAAAGGCTTGGCAACGAAGCACACAACTGTAGAATGGACTATTGTTCAGCGAGTTGGCAAGCAAATGTTTGTCTAAGTTGATGACAAAGAGGCATTGATTGTTCTTTCGACCAGTAAAGAGAAGTGAATCGACATATCAAGAGAAAAACTGTCAATATGATGTAAACATCTAGTGCCGCACAGCCAGAAAAATGGTGAAAGAAAGAGTAAAATGAAATATGTAGACGCCATATTCTGTGTTTTTTAATTTATTTTTAGAGCAGACTTCAACTCTTCATTTGCTATTCATACAAAAGATGGGCGTTGGTAATCGATGACCTGTCTTGCGAAATATATTCTCAAGTCACCCACTCAATTTTGCAGTGGGAGCATTTCCTCCATTCATCTGTGTTTTGATATGTTCATACGCTTGGAAAACTGATGTTTCATTTATTCTGAAAACTTTAAGGAACTGCTTGATTGAATCCACTACCGCTGTTGTCGAGTACACTCCGACGGGGTCAAAAGTAAACATGTTTATTTTTCAATCAGCAATTTTAATGAATGATCGTTAAGTTGAGTCGGACCTTTTAGAAAGTGATTAGTAAACCACCCTATCCTTGTCGGTAAAACAAGTATCAGTAATTGCTTTTTTGGATCAACGATTTTCAAAGAAATTGGCGTTCTGGGTGACATGTGAAGTGGTCTCTTGCTGAGACGGTTTTCTTGAAAGGTTTGGTTCCTTTGAAAATGAATGAAGGATTATTCACGGATCGTTGGAATATGCTCTGTCTTCTATATTAATTTTTTTTTTCATTCTGGTGTGCTTACCCAATTAGAATAATATTGTTACAAGTATCTTATAAACTTAATAATAATAACTAAGCGAACTTTAGCCTCAAAAGATCGTTTTTGTTGTTCGTGTACTTAGTCAACTGAACTCTTCTTTTATTCGAACACTATCTTTTGTTCACAAAAATTAACATGACTGCTCACCAGTTGAATGAAATTAAAACGTTTCCGTTGTCTTTCGGGTGTGAAATTTTCCTTGCTTTGCTGTGGTAGTCAAACATGTTAGCAACTATTTTCGATTTGATAAAATTCCTCTCTTTTCGAAGTTGAAAAAATTGGCAGTAAATTGAGGTATTCTCAGCAGGTAATTTAAATGTTAACAATTGAGTTGAAAACGTAAATTGGCCACCGTAAAGGGTTAAAAGGCTGACGTTTCGAGCGTGAGCCCTTTGTCAGAGCTATTAGAACGAAGGGCTAACGAAGAACCAATCGCTAGGACGAAGGGCTAACGCTCGAAACGTTAGCCTTTTACCTCTTTACTGTGGCCAATTTACGTTTTTAGCTCAGTGGTTAACACTAAATTACCAGCCATACTCTCCCATCGACGCAGCACGACAGTTTCTTTAGAAGCTTATCCCTTTATTCATAAAGTATTCTTAAACTATCGGACTCCCTTTAAGTATTTGGTGCTCTTCTTTGCTTCCCTTAAGAAATGAAACACTATGCTTAGATGGGGGGTAACTCTCAATGTATTTTCATGCTTCCCAAGCCGTGACAAGCCTCTGTATCATGAGGGTTATGGCTTTATATCAACCACAAGTATTTTTAAGTGAATTCTAATTCACGTTTCGTGGGTCGTCAAGTATTCATATATTGTTTGGGTTCATCTTCGATTCGACCTCTTCACTCAGAAATGCATAACCGCTTTTTGATGAATGTTGAAAAATGTTCTCTTTTTTCGGCGGCATCAAAAGGGTAACAACAACTTTAAATTCCAGTATTTTTCTTTGAATTCCTAAACTACAAAACAAGGAAGGTGGAATTTGAAAGGCCACTAACTCTGATATAAGAGGCATAAATTAGGACGCTCAGTTCGCCCCGTTGTTGCGTGTTTCTTTGTTTTGGTTTTAATGCAGCCATCCCAGTTTTTCCTTATACCCCAAAATGTAGCATTTAGATTTGTTGTCTTTATTTCATAACCATGATAGAACTTGGGTGAAACTTGAAAGATTGTAACTCGGATAATATCCACCACTAACCACCTACTTTTCGGTGAATAATTATGATGATCATTATAATTCTAATAATAGATTGTTTATTTCTCAATGAACACCAAAACTGGGAATTGCAGAACCAGCTAAAATCTTTATTGCGGTCTACACTAACTACATCCTCACTCAAAACGTATTCCTCAAGGAAAAAAAAACGGAATTTCTCCGCTGGCTAAAAGTTATCCGTACTGTGACTTTGCATTAACGACTTACACCTAACAAATCCGATTGAAAATTAGCTAGCGACTACTTCGTATTGATATAACGATAGTAATCCATTGAAAACGTAATGCAGACTTATGAAACCTTGTAAAACTTTTGGTTTTATCAATGGCAACAGGCGGTTTTTTCGGATAACGAGCGCGTGACGTCACCATGACCATCATAGCTGCAAGTATGACAACGCAAAGGGTCTTCACGTTCACAGAGGAGCTTTACGTGAAATCCGAGGAGATATCTAATGAGAGAGAAAACAAAATTCGCTTAATTGAATATCAAAAAAAATAACCGCATTTAGCAAGCCGCAGAGTGATTCTGGCAGTGTAAGATTTACCTCCTCCTTTTCGAAACGCTATTAGCAATGCAAGGCTACATTCAAGGTCACCACAAACAAATGTTAATGTGAGGGAAGGGGTGAATTACTGAACTTTCTATTGATTTATTTATTTGACGCCCACGACTCGAAATCTTTTTTTTATCAAACTGCTCTTTCCAAACAAACTCTTTGACAATCTTTGCAGAAATCAGGTGTGATCTTTGAAAGAAAAAGCACAAATTGAAAAAATTCCAAGTCTTACATGTAAGGAGTCGTCAGCACACGCAAAGATTAAAACGCTTGTTGTTTTGGGAGTTGGCGCGCAGATTGCTTGGTTCGGTGGGTGCCTAGCCTAAATAATAGGAACAATGCAAATCTAGGCTATCACGATTTCGTTACGATTAAATGGCGCTAAAAATAGAAATTGTATTCTTCTTGTTTTATGACAGAAAGTTTCTAAAAATTACAAAATGAAGTCTGACTCCAAAATTGACAGAAATAAGGTGTGACCTTTGAAAAATAAAAGCACAGAGTTAAAAAATTTCAAGTCTGACATGTAAGGAGTCGTCAGCACACGCAAAGATGAAATGAATTATTGTTTTGGGAGTTGGCGCGCAGATTACTTGGTTCGGTGGGTGACCAAGAGATTTACTTAATGATAGGAACAATGCAAATTTTGAAAGTGTATTGGTTATCACGATTTCGGTACGATTAAATGGCGCCACAAAATAGGAATTGCAATCTTCTTGTGTTATGATAGAGAGCTTCTTAAAATTACGAAAAGAACCCTGGCTCTAAAATTGACAGAAATCAGGTGTGATCTTTGAAAGATAAAAGAACAAAGTGAAAGTGCTCTAAGTCTTATATGTAGGGAGTCGTCAGCACACGCAAAGATGAAATGAATTATTTTTTTAGGAGTTGGCGCCCAGATTGCTTGGTTCAGTGAGTGACCAAGAGATTTACTTAGTGATAAGAACAATGCAAATTTAGAAAGTGTATTGGTTATGAAGGGTTCGTTACGATTAAATGGCCGACCAAAAATAGAAATTGCATTCGTCTTGTTTTATGACAGAAAACTTCTTAAAATTACAAAGAAAAGTCTAGCTCCAAAAATAACATAATCTCTAATATCTGACAAAATTGGCTCCATAAATTTGCCAATCGCCCGTTTCTATTGCATGTTTCTATGTTGCAAACTTTGACGTAAAAATAAATTATGTT